CGCCTCTGCAGGGTGGCCGACGGATGACGGAGACGCGGCGTCTTGAAACCCGAGAGCGCTGATATGGAATACATAAAGTAGGCGATTAAATACACTACGCTCGGTCACAAGGCGTATAATGAGTGCAACGCGATATACGAAATCGGTGCGAACAGGGGAAGGGAGAGGGACATGCAAGGCGTCAGTTTACTCTATATCCCATGCTTATGAAACGAAAAAGTGCAAGCAAAATAAAAATAAACAGCAAAATATTACAATTGCAGTTAATGTAGTAGAAAAATGGTGCAAAAATAATAATAACAATAACAAAAGCTGTGCGACCAACATATTAAACTGACTAGAAGTGTAAATACACACAGCAGTGAACAAAATATATGCATTATTGTAGGGAAGCATTTATTATTTTTATTTTGTAGGTATACAACAACAACTGAGCAAGCAAAAATACCTAGAGACATAGTAAATTCAATTAATAAGAAAACACATACAGCAATGTAAAAAATATATGCAACATTGCGTTGAAGCAGTTATTTTTTAAGCCTGCTTTCAAAACTTCACCGAAATTGTGCGTTCAAAATTACATTGAGACATATTAATTTGTGTGTAAGTGTAAAAGCATATAGTAGTGTGCGAAATAAATGCAACATTGTATTGAAATAGGTAAACAGAAACTGAGACATATTATAGCAACAGTTATTTCTCAGCATATTTTCAAAATACTACAAGAACTGTGCGATCAAAATTACGTCAAAACTTCTTAAGTTAAGAAAATGTGTAAATACATACAATTAGGTGCAGAATATATACCTATATACATACATATTATATTGTATCAAAAGTAGTTTTTATTAATTAATTAATTTTAAAGATCGTTTTAAAATTTCCAATTTTTTAAATATTTCAGTAATCATTTAAGTTTTACATATTAAATTTGTTTTAAAGGATGCCAGATTTTAAATTTAAAAAAACATTCTCTAAAGGAATACTATAACATGGGCTTAAAACTTAAAAGGTTAAATAAGATTTGTAGTTTGTAGAGTTATCATCAATTTACAAATTTGTGTTTCAATAAAATGTAAATTTGTGTTTCAATCAAATGGCTTCAAATTATAAATGCTTGAGAAAAAATTTAATAATGTTGCCAGCTATGTTAAATTTTTATTCAAACTCATTGATAAAATAGGACTAAATTTTTAATATTGACAACAAATGATATGTATTTTCGAATTAATTAATTTAATATATAGGAATACTTGCTAGAATAATATTACCGATCTCAATAAAAACGAATTAGAGTTGTCTTATAGTTAATTAGTTAACATTTTAGTAATCTGCTAAAATTGGTACGAGGTAAAACCTTTAAAGATATGTATAATTTTACTATCTTTTTTACAGAGCTTTTAAGCCATTAGAAGCATTGTTCAGGGCATATTTGTACCCAAAGGGAGCTCAACTGCACTTTAGGGATTATTACTCGAGTTTAACGGGAAGTGGAGGTAATTTGCCATGTTGGACAAATTAACGAATTTTGTTTCATCAAGTAATCGATTTTTTACTCTTTTATAGAAATTGAATTCCGAAGCATTGTGATCCTAAATTTAAAAAAATTGTTCCTGCGGTGAATCCTTTCTAAGTTTTTTCATACTAATTCAAATTTATTATAACAATTTGTGATTGAAAAGTGTGCAGTAATTTCAACTAATTTTAAGCAATCATAAAGTCAAGCTGCATATGTTTTGCACAATACTATATAAACAGGCATATGCAGTCACAAAACGAAAAGGAAATCGAATTCGCATGTGACTACACTTATATATATTCGCACATGCTTATGCACAAAATTTCAATGTCAGGAGCACGATTTATGCGTCTGTGCGCATGCGCCTGGTTTTCTGTGCAGGCGTCAAAAAAATACAACCTTTTAGGCGTTGGCAGTTCATTGACTTGCCGGTTTTTGCGCAGGCGTACCGCCTGCATACAAACACAATTTCATAAACGTTATTCTCATATAGCATTATGCATTCTCCGCTCACTGCTGTGCACTGTCGATTTCGGGACGCGCCATGCGCACGGAGACAATGCAAAGGTTCAAGTTGATTGAGTGATTTATGGTAATAAGGATTGATCGCATAATTGAATATTGGCTAAATCAGTTTTTGGGGTTCTTTCTTACTTACTTTTTTTTTTTGAGTAGAAATAAATGAAAGTAAAGCGTATATAAAAAAAAATCGGGCTGATGATTATGATAGAGTGCAAAAAATTTTGGATGCTGATACCGTCTTTTTTTTAACACATTTGAGAGCTAAAAGAAGTATGGACATTTACAGATATTTTGACGAGTTTTTCTACCTACTTATAAGAATTTTAATATATGTTTGAATACTTCCGAAATCTGTACCCATCGGTTAGTTTAGCTAGCAATTCATAAAGTCAATTTCGGTAGTTACTTTTAGCAGTTTGAAAAAAGGATCGGATAGAATCTACTGCACATACATTTCCAACAATTATATGAGAGTCAAAGACGTGAAATTTCCGACTTGCTTTAGGATTCACTGTAATTAATTTTTTTGTACTTAATATTAAAATTAATGTGGGTGTCTCCTCTTCTCTTCTGAATTCAAATATATGTGTTACTACAAATGTATAGGATGTTTATTTATATTAGCCTGATAGTTATTATTTGACTGTGATCACTGTAATTAATTCCAAAACTCTTCCAGTCGATGTCTTATCATCCGCAGAACATGCTGTATTTCTTGTATTAATCGATTAGATTTGCGACGAGTGTCTCCAAAGTATGTATAAGTTGAGATAGATGAGTCGGCAGTCTAATGCGATTGGTTAGAACCTTAATTATTTTCCCACAATCTCGACGCAGTTAAGATTACAAGTTGATGTCCTTCCTATTGGTAAAAAATTATATCTTTCTACAAACAAAGATTCGTGCCATATTGGATATATTTTTGGGTCTTTGTGTATCTAAATCGTGTGATTATTGTAGGAACTCACTAATATTGACATACCTACTTCAGCGAACAATAATCTACGATGGCATTTTTAATACAGATGACGTAGTAAATTCGCTGGGAAGATGGTATCAGTCAGGTAGGTAAGAGTGCTGTCACTTCGGACTCAATTAGATCGATCGCATTTGTTGGAATATGCTTGTCAAGCGAGAGTAAGAAGAAGTGACAAGCATTTATAATGACCTTGAACTTCACTAAGGTGACCGCGAAACGTTAAATCTACCATGACATTTCAAGTTTTCCAAAGAGGCGAATGATTAAAATTGCATTGAAAAGCTTACAATATATCGCAATAAACTTAAAATTGCAAGTTCAGTGAAAACTATACTTTCATTCACATGTACACAATTCTTCAAGGTCAACATTAATACTAGTTTTACATACATGTCTTCTGGGATAATCGGTCCTGGCAACTACAACGCACCACTATTCCTGTCGTAAGATGACTCATGCTATTGAAATTGAAGCTTAAAAATCTTGCCACACGTCAGGCACAGGCACGAGAATTGCATAACCCTGAACAGAGATGACTCACCTAAGGCCAGATGGGGGTGTCAAAAGCAATAAAAAAGTATACACAACAATAATGAAAACCGTGAAATAAGGCGACACATTTAATATAAACGCATAGAAATGGGCAAATGAAAGAAATTCAAGGACACTTTGACCCAAATATATACGAAACTGAAGGCTATATGGAAGTGTGTGGTTGCCACAAGCGCAAAAAAAATAATAAAAGCTAAAAATAAAGAATTCAGCGGGTATGAGTCATTGTAGAGTTTAAAGTGAAGTGCACAAAAGCTTGCAACAAATTTTGTATTTTACAAAAACAATAACACAAGTGGATAATTGGCTGCTACAAAAGAATGAATCATATGAAATACGCCGAAAAAGCCGCAATGAATTGTGCAGCTGTGGCATAAACATTAAACATAAAATTTAAATTAAAATTCAAAAAAGTAAAAATTGCATAGCATTGCCAAAAGTAACCCTTAAAAACTTTTTAAGTAGAAACACTCTTATGATTGTGAGTCAACATGCCTGCATAAAAGGTTAATTAAAGTCAAACAACAACATATTATAATAAATAAGTATTGTAGCACGCGCTCATTTGGCCAACTGCTCTTCGCTATAAATACACAAAATTTAGAGAATTTGTCGAAAAAAAGTGAAATCAATGCGCCACAGGATAAACTAAAGCACTTCGCCAAATGTGACCGAAACACAATAGCTTGAAGTGCCTGACAATAGGGGTTGACGCCACTGGAAGCGTGTGCTCGAAACATGCGATGCTTTAGAGATGTTGACTGATGTTGAAGATGGTGCTATTGCTCGATGAATGAGATATGAAAGAGAATCAGAGACAAATAAAGGTATAGATTTACAGAGAGAGTTAAAGTACCACAGTTAAATAGAGAGTCAATGTATCAGAGTTACAGATATTTAATGCAGAGCGTTAAACTGTTAACATACAAACATATGTGGCTGTTCAGTTTAGCTGTTAAGTAGTGCTGCCAGATCTTTTGTCTAAGATACACTACTATACTATTAAAAAAGTTAAATATCCACTAGAGAGAACTTAACCTTTCCCCAATGTTTTGATAGCGCCACAGCTTATAGTTAAAGTTCCAGTTTCCAGAATCTCTCAAGAATATTGAAATGTTAATGAGATTTGTGAGCACCGAGATTATGCCATAGTCCCCTTAGGAAAATCGTAAAATAAAATAATTATTGAAAAAAACTAAGATCACATCCCGGAAGTATATATATTTTCAATGACTTCATGACTGCATATTTTACAATAGATGCATCTATCGAAGTATCAAAAACAAGTTCAAAAGTTCTTCCCACTAAGAATCATATATTAGCTTGGCTGGTATGAGCGCTATACATAGTTTGGTATCTCGCAGTTCAAGATCTCAAATATATTTTTTAAACACACGTTATTAATAAGACATTTTCCATTAACACTAAACCTACCAGCATTGCATGTATAACTATTCCTACCATGAGCGGTCAAATGACGGATTTTGAAATTACTTATATCTCTTAATATAAAATGAAGAAAATAATTATTTCATAATTAAAAATATAGTTTCTTTTATTTAAAAATAAATCATCTACATTTTATTCCTTATATACAACACTTTTTACAAATTATAGGCTTCTCAATCGCACATTTGCCGCATACGTACTTTTTACATTTTAGACAGAATTTGTTTGTCTTATTTTTTTTGCAATATCTTATCTGACATGTTTTCCGATCACTTGTTTGTGCACTAATGTTTCTGGCTGCTTTTGCTGGCTCTTCTTCCTTGCCTGGCTGTTGCTCTTTTTGATATTCGCTTATAAGTTCTTCTCCCAATTGAAATAAAAAGTTTTGCCTTGATATTAGACTTCCCGTTGTTTCTTTATATAATATCCATGCATTTATCCCGGCTAAGTCTAGGATATTGAAAAATACTTGTAGTGGCCATCTCCGAGATTTATATTTTACAGAGTATTTTCTGGCCATTTGGTCTGTAACATCTACACCGAATTTGCTGTTATTATATAATCTTATTGTCTCGGGTATACAGGCATCATTTTTTTCAATTTTCACCGAATTATGCATTGAGCTAAGAATCAATACCTTTTTATTTTGTTTAGCCTTATAAACTGTCAGAGTACAATTATTTGTCCGATATAATTTTGTTGAGAAACGTGTCATATTGTCTTTTTTCTGTTTTGCCAATTTTGGTAACTCTCTTTTATTTGCTCGAATTGTTCCAACAACCGTAGTTTTTTTTTCTAAAAAGTTTAGTCGCTATCGAAATGCTTGTAAAAAAATTGTCCATGGTTATATTTCTTCCCCGACCTGTATACGGTTCTACTAATTTCAGAGCGACAAACTCCCCAAGGGGAACTGAAGGATCTCTGCTTTCATCTTTTCCCAAATAAGGAAAGCCGTTTATTATATATTTGCTATTTACATCGGACGCTAGCCAGAATTTGATGCCAAATTTGTCGGGTTTATTTGGCATGTACTGGGTAAATCTGCATCTTGACTTTGTTGGAAACAATTGTTCATCTATAGTAATATATGCTCCTGGTTTATAACAGTTTTGGCTATTCTCTACGAATTTGTTCCAAACTTTAGAAATCAAAGCGAATTTATCGGTTTGTAAGCGATGACTTCTTTGATTTCTTTGATCAAACCGAATAAACCTCATAATTTCCGTAAATGCATTTCTGCTCATAGTATTTGAGAAAAATGCTGGTCCCCATTTTTTGTTCCATAGGAGTGAAATATCTAAATTTCTTGCCTCATATGCACCTCGTGCATACAATAATCCGATAAATGCATATAATTTTGCAGTAGATAGATTCCATTTAGTTCCCAACACTCGAAATGCCTCGGCTTCCGTGCAGTTTCTTATATGTTCGATTGTATTATGGTCAACAATAAGAGAAAATGCTGTAAAAAATTTATCTTTCATAATAGTTCGTTCAGAATGCCCGGTTGGGCCTGATGTTTCTCTAAAAATATTATGCATCTCTGTTCTTCCAGGATTAGACCCTTCTTTTATTTCTTGCCATTCAGTTCCGTCTATAGCAGTTTCGGTTAGCTCTTCTTCATTCTCACTTTCGGAACTAATTACAAATATCCTTCTCTTTTGTCTTCTACGTATGTTCAAAATGTTTTCTTGGTCACTATCGGTGTCAGAGTCGTTGCCAAATAAATCAAAATCATTTTCCTCTTTGTCATCTTCATTATCAGAAAATTCCCGTTCATCTTCCGAACACTCTTCGTCAATATTATTTATATTCTCTAATAATTTGATATTTATCGAATGCCTTGACATTTTTAGGCTGATATAGATGCACACAAATAATGAAATAAAAACTAAAAAATGTGGTTCGTTGAAAGAGTAATTTATAACATCACTATTTCCACTATTTCTTTGGTACGCTCCAAGTACCATCCAAATCCTTTTACAAACAACTGAACTCAATCTTATGCTAACTTATGCTTATATAGAAAATTAGTATGTAAGAGAACTGACGAAAATAACAAAGTTGTTATTGCATACGGCAAAATGGCCTGACTAAACAACAGTAGAATGGTATGATATGCCAAAGCCAAACGCATCACCTGATAATGGTGATTCCTGTTGTTCTTGTGTGCTTCACAATGGTCTGACCCAAACAACGGTAAAAATGCCGAAGCTAAAGTGCGTCAGCTGATAATGATGATGCCAGATTGCACCTAGAGAATGGTGCTGCCAAATTGTATAGCATAAATCTCTCAAGTTAATGGAACTTATGATGAATCGTTAACAGTATCTATTTTTTAATTTCAGATTTGAGTTTTCGAGAGTATTCTATTACAAAAACATATAAATCGTTCAGTCGGTCAAATGACCGCTCGTGGTAGTTAAAACGGTCTACATAGTTATCTCAAAAATCAAAGAATCGAAAAAGTAGTAAATATTAAAAAAACAATTGTATGCATATTTTAGGAAAAGTCATGAAGTTTAATGGCGGTATAATAACGTGGTGCTTAGAAAATTTTAAAGAAAATTTGAAAACGGTCATTTGACCGCTCGTGGTAGGTTTAGTGTTAAATAAAGTGGTTTCTTTCATTAATATTTTTATTTAAGATAACTAATTGCATCCAATAGTTTTCTTTTTGAAATCTGAAACCTTTAGCAAAGAAAGTGACAAACGGATTCTCTCTTTTAATCGAGATCATTTCTCGTACAGTGGTGCTATAGATGAGCTCATGCCCAGCAGCATTCAAATTGGCCAAACTACTATACCTTTTGGTACTGGAACTTCGACTTTTCTTGGACCCATTTAGCAGGTTTGTTGCCTTGGTTAAGGAATATTCGTGGATCACGGCATTTTCTTCTGCCTTTGATACGGTAACGATGTATTATAATTAAAGTGACAAATCAAGCTTTTAAAGACAGGTTATTATAGTTTTATGAAACCATTTACAACCTTCTGCTCTTAAAAGTTTGTTCATTTTCATACTTACTTTTATTAAATTAAAAATACTCTCTTGACTCTCAAACAACCTTCTATATACAATAAATTTTAATCTAGTATGCAAAAGACGCTAGAGTGACATTGCTGTTAAGGTGCAAACGGTAAATTTGACATAGAAAGAGAGCCAGAGAGACATTTTAATACAAATCGCGATGAGCTCTCTCAGAAGAAAAGTTGATAGCAAAAGTAACAAATTTTTGAGATAAATGAAGATACAAACAGATATCCGGCATTCACTAAAACCACACAATTAACCCTACGCTAAATTGTACAATGTACTTTTATAAATTATTAATACGTTCAAAATTTCACTTCACTACCTAGCGACAGTATCTCTAATAAACTCACGTGGTGGTTGCGCGCGCAGAATACAAAGAGCGCAACACTCCCTAAAGCATTAAAAACAAAAAAGTGTGCTATCTCTGCCAACATCCACCGGTACTTTTACGGCACACTTATCAAATGTATCGATTTTTCGAACTACTCGCCGCTTTCGTGTACAAGCATCAAGCATGAGCCAGCGTTCTGAACCACCCCAGCGTACGGAATAAATTTGCTATCAGCGAAAATGTGCAACAACCCTCTAAATCCCATTTGCCGAATTTGACTTTACGCACCGGTAAAGGACGGAAGGAAATGTTTGTCAATGGCTTTGAAAGTAGTGGCATAAATAAAAGAATTTCTTTTATATATATGCAAACAGATTGCAGTTAGATGCTTTGTAGGCGCATACCGAATTATCGCATAAATAAAGAGAATGCTTTGTGTGGTACTTCCTATTGACCTCTCCGTTGTGGGCAAATTAGTGTGCATTGAACTCGTATCTGACGCGAATTTCTTATGTGGGGGCGACTTTTGTATTCTAAGGTATGGGAGAAGAAGCAGTGAGGTAGAAGTGGAACGACATGTTTAGGAGGGTACTTTGGAGAGGCCTTATAACTGATAATATACAATTGATGAACTTTTGAATGAAACTAACTATAAACTGTATGCACATATGTATAGTACAGGTAAAAGCGTTTAAAAAGTTTTGAAAAACGCGTGAATAGATAAAATGGACTTTTCGAGATTTTGCAATACTACGATAGTTATCATCACAGTATGTATAGTATAAATAGTAAGATAAGATTTTGCAGCATAAAAATTCCGCTATCTTCGCTGATACTCGAATATATGTGAAAATAAGTCATTGAACTAGGGAATGAAATATGAATTTGCTTCCAAACACATAAATATTCTTAAAATAAACATTTCATAATCGCTTCAAAACTTGTAAAACGATTTCCCAATATCTGAATTATTTCAAGAGATATGAAAAATACAAGAATTAATGCAAAACACAGATGATGTCGAAAAGACATCTAGCCACACTTAATCCAGCAATAAGCTCATTGTGCTCCCCAGTAAGGCCCAACTAAAAATTCTTCATCAGCTCACTGAACTCAACAAAAGTTTTGAGTTTGAAAACTAATGTACATAATGTGATGTACATACATCTAAATACTACTGATAATCTCTGTATAATTTCTGTAGTATAAATACTTTGTGATAACCTCTATCGTAGTACAGATTTCCTTGTTACCAACATTATTGATTTTTTCTTAAGTTTGACTAAAAGAAAGTCAGCATTAGAGACCTACAAAAAGTTCTCGATTTAATTTAATAAAACAATAACACTAGCTTCTAATTAACGAAGAATTTTCAGTTAGACCGCTCATTAAAACCTTGATTTGTTTGACAATTTACATATTTTTGGGTATCTAATTCTGGAGATTTTTTTGACCATACAATTGAGTACAGAAAGTTTGGAAGAGACTAAACATTACAAAAAGCTAAGCCAGTGAAATCTAGTATCTATAGCTTTCATATTTATATATATTTTAGCTAGGTTTACTGACTTTATTACTTTTAATAAATAAGTGCATTAACCCGAAGACAGACACTAAAAATGAACTCTGAATCACTAAAAATGCCTTCTAGTTACGAGATGTAAGCGCCGAAAAAGAACCGGGACGCCCCCGGATTAATATACGGTCAATAATAGTAGTAACACTAGGATGTTTTGTTAACTATTCCACAGGTAGTACCATCAAATCCTAATTTAAAAATATTATATAATTTTTTTTCTAACGGCGGTCGATCTGCAACAGGCAATTCAGAAGGATTCAAGTATATTACCGTAAGAACAAAAGCTTCTCATAAATATCTGAGCGGGCTGAACACTTGTTGGATAACCTAGGTAGTGAATTATAGATTTAGTTATTATAAAGCTTACCATCTTCAAAAAACGGTTCACACACTGCACCATAAGCGCCTCAAAACACTAAGGTTAAAATTTAAACAAAAAATTGCAATACCCACAACAGCCGGTTCTATGTTACTGGAATTGATACGAATCTAATTCGGCCGAGGACTAACTCCAATAACAACAACAACAACTAGGATTAAAATTGAGTTTTTGTCACAAATTCGTCAACGGGAAAATATATGAATTGCTTCAATGGAACAACTTTTCGCGTCACCATATTTTAAATTCGTTTCATGTCCAATTATGAAAACCAGAACACTGCACGAGCACATTTGAGAAATATTGAAAATATAAACACGCCACAAAGTATGATTTCATGCTTATTTATAAAATTAACGCTGCTAATTTTGGAATTTAGCATAAATAATAAGCTAAGGTATTTATAAAAATTCAACAATTAAATAAAATAAACTTACCTCTTTGCAAAAGTCTGTTTGAAACTCACTTCCAGGAATTCAGCTGCAATTGTTAATGCTAAAAGCGTTTAAAAAGTTTTGAAAAACGCGTGAATAGATAAAATGGACTTTTCGAGATTTTGCAATACTACGATAGTTATCATCACAGTATGTATAGTATAAATAGTAAGATAAGATTTTGCAGCATAAAAATTCCGCTATCTTCGCTGATACTCGAATATATGTGAAAATAAGTCATTGAACTAGGGAATGAAATATGAATTTGCTTCCAAACACATAAATATTCTTAAAATAAACATTTCATAATCGCTTCAAAACTTGTAAAACGATTTCCCAATATCTGAATTATTTCAAGAGATATGAAAAATACAAGAATTAATGCAAAACACAGATGATGTCGAAAAGACATCTAGCCACACTTAATCCAGCAATAAGCTCATTGTGCTCCCCAGTAAGGCCCAACTAAAAATTCTTCATCAGCTCACTGAACTCAACAAAAGTTTTGAGTTTGAAAACTAATGTACATAATGTGATGTACATACATCTAAATACTACTGATAATCTCTGTATAATTTCTGTAGTATAAATACTTTGTGATAACCTCTATCGTAGTACAGATTTCCTTGTTACCAACATTATTGATTTTTTCTTAAGTTTGACTAAAAGAAAGTCAGCATTAGAGACCTACAAAAAGTTCTCGATTTAATTTAATAAAACAATAACACTAGCTTCTAATTAACGAAGAATTTTCAGTTAGACCGCTCATTAAAACCTTGATTTGTTTGACAATTTACATATTTTTGGGTATCTAATTCTGGAGATTTTTTTGACCATACAATTGAGTACAGAAAGTTTGGAAGAGACTAAACATTACAAAAAGCTAAGCCAGTGAAATCTAGTATCTATAGCTTTCATATTTATATATATTTTAGCTAGGTTTACTGACTTTATTACTTTTAATAAATAAGTGCATTAACCCGAAGACAGACACTAAAAATGAACTCTGAATCACTAAAAATGCCTTCTAGTTACGAGATGTAAGCGCCGAAAAAGAACCGGGACGCCCCCGGATTAATATACGGTCAATAATAGTAGTAACACTAGGATGTTTTGTTAACTATTCCACAGGTAGTACCATCAAATCCTAATTTAAAAATATTATATAATTTTTTTTCTAACGGCGGTCGATCTGCAACAGGCAATTCAGAAGGATTCAAGTATATTACCGTAAGAACAAAAGCTTCTCATAAATATCTGAGCGGGCTGAACACTTGTTGGATAACCTAGGTAGTGAATTATAGATTTAGTTATTATAAAGCTTACCATCTTCAAAAAACGGTTCACACACTGCACCATAAGCGCCTCAAAACACTAAGGTTAAAATTTAAACAAAAAATTGCAATACCCACAACAGCCGGTTCTATGTTACTGGAATTGATACGAATCTAATTCGGCCGAGGACTAACTCCAATAACAACAACAACAACTAGGATTAAAATTGAGTTTTTGTCACAAATTCGTCAACGGGAAAATATATGAATTGCTTCAATGGAACAACTTTTCGCGTCACCATATTTTAAATTCGTTTCATGTCCAATTATGAAAACCAGAACACTGCACGAGCACATTTGAGAAATATTGAAAATATAAACACGCCACAAAGTATGATTTCATGCTTATTTATAAAATTAACGCTGCTAATTTTGGAATTTAGCATAAATAATAAGCTAAGGTATTTATAAAAATTCAACAATTAAATAAAATAAACTTACCTCTTTGCAAAAGTCTGTTTGAAACTCACTTCCAGGAATTCAGCTGCAATTGTTAATGCTAAAATGTGTTTTGGTTTTCAAACTTGCACTATTTGATTTAATTATTTATTGTGAGTATTTATTATTATTTTTTATTTGTGTATGTTAATAAAAACTTTTTTAAGTAACGGCTCCGCTGAAAAACACTATTTTTATTATAGTTTAGTTTTATTTATTTTTGTTTTAACTTTTTATAACACTTTACTAAATTAATACTCAATTCTCAGCATTGAACTGCTCAAATACATATCTACACATATGGTCTTCCCGGAATAATTTTTATCACACCTTGTTTACTCGTTTACCTCAATCATTAAATTTTTTGCATTTATCTGCTTTAAATTCTTTTCAAACTTTACTGCCCTCACTTGTAAACAAAAATTTCATTTTCACATTTCGAAGTTTGCAAGGCGCAACTTGGACGCTAGAGAAGCAAAAGTATACATTCGCTAATTATATACATACAGTATATACACGGTATATACGAGTAGGTATGTATCAAGAGTATATTGGCACACAAAACCGAATCGGCAGCGGCGCGTACACACCCTTTTCTGCGCAAAACAACACTGCAGAGCGCGCTGCAAAATACAAAAATTAAAAAACAAAAACATAACAAAAATAAAAAAATAATATTGATAAAAATGTGCGCCGTAACGGTAGTTTTTTCAAAATATATATATATATATATACATACATAAAAATATGTGTAGAAAAATTTCTGGCGCTAACACAAATTTGATGGCAAGAAAAAATAATTTTGTGGCACTAAGAGAATTTTTGTGGCAACAAAAAATTGTGTGGCACTAAAAAAATCCTAATTTTTATTACTTATTTTGCGCCGAAAAAAAGTTTCACTTCTGCGGCACAAACTGTCGTATATCACGCAAAAATAGCAATATTAATATACACTGTAAAGAATTTTTTTCCGAATACACCATTTTTTAATACACTGTAAAATAATGTTTTTCCAAATAGGTGGCACGCCATAACACAGTCAGTTTTGAAAAACTCCTTTGCCTGCTTTAGGCTTAGTATATGTAATATATTTTTTCCTTATTGTCACCACAACACCACACAATAGGCATGTAGCTACTCGATTCGGCCGCAGCTGCCGCCTTGGCTGCTGCACGTCAATCAGCAAAATCCGGCGCCCCCACCCAAAAAAGGCTAAGCTCCAACCGCAACGGGGCCAGGCACGCTGACTGACATGTGTTGGCAGCGCAGCAACAGACAATCAGTCAGCCGGGTCGCCGACGTTACATTGTGCGCCGTAAAAGTCGCGGCACAGCTGAGAACAAGATCCACTTTGTTGTTATTATTAGTGTTTTTACAGTTTTTCACTATTGCAAAAATGCATTTCCTTATTTCGTACAAATAAGGTAATTTGCGGACTGCGAACGACTCGAAATTATGCGCTAAAGTGAGTTTTAACGAGCAATACGCAAAAACACGAAACAACAAAAAAAAATCCAAAATGTATAGCAATTGTTCATTAGAACAGCCAGTGCCTAGAAATTTCGACCGCCCTTTTAGTTCTAACACATAAAAAAATAATCAAAGCAAAACACTATTTTTATACAAATTGCAAAGCAACAACAATACCGCTTAAATGATTCGCTACCGTTGCAAATTCAAGCACACTAATAAACGCACTCACAATTCTACACTTTTTCTACTACTATGCGCGCACACGCTCCGCGGCAAACCAAATATTACCAAACCACACGAAAGCCAACTGAAAACTGTGTGCCTGATGTGTTCACAAGCAGCGCTCAAGCGCATGGAGTCGTATTTTTGCCGTGCGATTACACTGAGTGGAGAGCGCACAGCTGTCGCAGCAGCTAACAGATAGAGCGTAGCAAGTGACTGTATTGCAGTAACGGTAACAGACCTTTTGACTGCGTTGGTGTGCAGTTGTTTGGGTTTACTGGACGATACTGTGGGTGATTTTACGAATGTTGCTGGAATTGTACAACCAAAGAAATGTATGTATGATATACCATTTACGTAATAGTTTCAGAAAAATCAAATAATCAAGTTTATACAGACTACATGGTTCAAAAAGTCCGTGGTCTAATAATTTGACCTAATTTTGAATTTGACGTAAAATCCAGCCGCGTTATTGGATCAACAATATAATTTATTAATTATTTTACCTTACTTAAAAATACTGTTCATAAAGAATTGCACGAGCACCAATGATTCATGCGCGATGGGTACAAGCCAACAGTTAAAGAGATCTTTAATAACAAGATATAATATATTTATCAATATACAAATTTGTTAGAAAAGAAAATCTATCGATAAAGATTCACGAATCGAAAAAATTGCCTGAACACATTGAACACACAAGTAGAAAGAAAAACGCGAACTGAGAAGTAACCCTAAACTACGTAGCATTTTGTTTATACCGAAAACAGAGACGATAAAAAAGTGATATTTAAAACAGGAGGCTTAAACTAAAGAATACTATGTTTCAAGCATGTACGAAAAAGAAGAGTTATTGGATTTTATAAGGTAATACGAAGTGCCGATAACCATTTTATTAAAAGAATCATGCAGGAAGAGATCGTGCACGAAATTTATTGTACGAAATATTTGTTTCATGAGTGAGAAAATCTGCTAAGCTACTTAGAGAAAGCGCAAATAACATGCCTTTTGAAATCAGGAATATATGTATGTATTTGCAGACAAATCCCCACTAACTTTAATCCAACTTTCCTAAATTTTGAACCAACTGTATACTATTTGTACCCACTGCACATCATACGAATGCTCCTACAACGGGAGAGCTAGTCAGCCTTCGCTGCCTAAGCAAATGTCGAATAAGACAAATGAGAACAAACTTTTCAAACCAACAGCAACATAAGGAGCCTGTCAACCAAAACAATAAACACAAACAGCAGGCAGCAGGCAGCAGGAGGCCTGACTATATGACAACAACACTAAAAGTCAAACAGTTGAACGACATACGCGACCCGGCGAAAGACAAGCAACAACTATAACACATGTCTGTTGGAACTGTTAGTGAGTGCAATGCATGCTCACAAAGGCACGAGCATACGACCAAGTAATGCAGCGCAAGTCAACTAAACAATGCAATTGCCAACCAGCTGCAACTGCGATAAGCACAACAATAATAGCAAACACAATATGTTGAAACAAATTAGAGAAATGCCAATTGGCAAAGTGATAGGCGAGCAATAAATGTGCGCACACAGTTGTTTGTTCGTGAGACCGGCAAACAAAATGAACAACAGAGCGCGAGAGCGTAAAGACAACACACTTTGAGAGCAAATTGGTGCATTGAGAGACTGGGCTGTGTGTATTGTTAATAGAGAATTTATTGGTTTGTTGCTGTCGAGTTGGGCTGGTGGGGCTCTGTTATGTGCAAAACAGAGTCAACTTATGTTATTGGAGAAGCTGTTAAATTTAAAAAAGTTACAGTGGGGCATAACAGTAGGGTGGGATAGAATAGTTATTGTTGCTAATTAGGTTTTTATAGCAATTTTACAAAAATTAAAATAAGAAAGAAAAAAGAGAAAGAAATTAATAATAAATATTTGAAAAAAAAAATATATAATAATACCAAAAAAAGTTTTGTAAAATTATGTTAAATCAAAAGAAAATAAGAAGAAAGTAAAAGTAATTAAATAAAAATTAAAATAAAACAAAATCTAATCAAAATAATAAATTAATTAAATTGCATCATTAAATGAATGTAATAAATAATAAATATAATAATAAAAAATTAAGCAAAATTATTTTAAATCAAATAAAATAAAATAAGTTGAATGGAAAATTAAATTGCATTACAATAAATTACATTTAAATTGATAGTAAATACGGTGTATGCATTAATTCGTGCGGTTTTTTTACGAAAATTAAGACTTTATTGTGAAAAAATTGTTATACATTTAATGCTCAAAGTATTGCCCATCGGAAGCTATGATGTTTACCCATCTTTTTGGCAGTTTGTGGATCCCATCCCAAAAGAACTTCTCCGGCTTGGAGGTCAAGAAAGAATCAATCCAATTTCTGATACCCTGTTCTGAAGAGAAGCGTACTCCGGTGAGGGCATTCTGCATTGATCTGAACAAGTGGTAATCGGAAGGTGCTATGTCTGGGCTATAAGGCGGGTGAGGTAGAACTTCCCACCCACAGTTTTCCAAATAGTTTTTAACTGGCCTTGCAACATGTGGCCGAGCGTTGTCATGATGAAAAATTATTGATTCTTGTCTGGTCGCATATTCTGGTCGTTTTTCCGCGATGGCCTTTTTCAAACGAATCAATTGTTTTCGGTAGAGGTCCCCATTGATCGTCCGACCCGATTTCAATAGCTCATAATAGAGCACACCCTTGTGGTCCCACCAAATACATAGCATAACCTTAGCAGCATGGATATTCGGCTTTGCCGTGGATGTTGATGGTTGGCCGGGCTTCACATACGATTTTTTGCGCTTTGGGTTATCATAATGAATCCATTTTTCATCGCCAGTGACAATACGATGCAAAAACGACTTCTTTTGGTAGCGTTGAAGCAACATTTCCGACATGCAGAATCGACGTTCGACTTCTCTTGGCTTTAATTCATAAGGCACCCAATTTCCAAGCTTCTGGATGAATCTTAATGATTTTAATCGTCTGGAAACGGTTGCTTGATCAACTCCTAATACTTTTGCAAGTTCTTCTTGCGTCTGGCATGGATCTGCGTCGAGCAATGTCTCCAATTCTTCGTCTTGAAGTTTGTTCGGCTGTCCAGGTCGTTCTCCGTCGTCTAAGTCGAAATTGCCACTTTTAAACCGTGCAAACCATTTTTGGCACGTTCGTTCGGCTAAAGCATGGTCACCATAAACGTCCAGTAAAATACGATGGCTTTCGGCAGCACTTTTCTTCATGTTAAAATAATGAAGAAGAACTCCCCGCAAAAACACTTTATCTGGTACAAATTTCGACATTTTCAAATGAATGAAACAAATTGTTGTTCACGCTCAAACAATTTATATCTACTGAAAACGACGCGAAATGGCAGTAAAAAAATTAAAATTTATGAATAAAAACTTAATTAAGTAAAAATCAGTTAATATAAAACAAAGTCAAAAATAAAAAAATTAAATTGAATTAACTTTTAAACAAAATTAACAAAAGGTAAAACAGTATAGTTAAATTGTAACAATACATCAAAATTACTGTATTTTATTGAAATAATATGAAATAAAATTGTTGGAAAAATTACCAAAAATTTAAATTAATAAATTAGAGACAAATTAAATAAACTTAACTAAATTATATAAAATTTATATATTATAACCAAATATTTTATTTATGAATTTTTTTGTATCATTAAATTTGATTAACAGATTAAAACAATTTAAGTTAATTTATGCTAAATTAAATTAAGTTGTTAAATAAACTACATTAATATACAAAACAGTAAAAAAAATAATGCAAAGTAAAATATTTATAATTTTAATAATGTTGAAATGTATTTTAATTTTTTTTAATTAAAATAATTTGTATTGACTTATAGTATTAATAAAAAGATTAAGATACTAAAACTAAATATATAAAGTTAATAAGACGATATGAAATAATGAAAACATTAGTTAATATTTTTTTTGTTTAATTTTTTTTCTATTTACTTGCAATATTTTTTAAGTTTATTATTATTTTTGATATTATTTAAAAAAAATTAAATTTTTTTAAGTTTTTTCTAATCTGTTGTATTTTTGCTTGTTTTGTATATATTTTTAAATGTATGTTTGCTTCATTTCCTTCCCTTAAGTGTATTTTTTATTTTTATTCAATTAGTTTGTCAAACAAAAAGAATAAATTTAATAAAAAATATATAAAATAAATGGAAGCTCAATAAATATTTTTTGAAGTTTTTTAATATTTTTTGAAGTTTTTTAATGTTTTTTTATTATTTCTAGTATTTAATATTGTTTCAGTATTTTTAATATTTTTTCAATATATTTATTTTTCTTTTTTACTTTCTTTAATTTTTCAGTAAGTTTTTTCTTCATTTACTCTAAACACATACCATCTCAGCTCATAAAACTCAATTATTTATTTAAACTTTTTTTTAGAAAATAGAAATGAAATAAACTAGATGTAAAATAAATAAAGGCTAATATTTTTAAAACAAAATCAAACAAAAAAAAATAGAAATATGTTTATAAAACATTTATGTATATAAGATATGTATATATTATTTTTTTTTTTAATTTTTATAATTTTTTTTATTATATATAATAAGTTTTATTTTTCTTATTTACTGCATAGCACATAAAAATTCTATTTATTTATTTAAAACTTTTATCTAGTTAAAAAACAGAAAATTGCATTGAGTATATATTTTTTAAGTTTTTTAATATATTTTATATAATTTTATTAACTTATATATTTTTAAGTTTTTATTCATAATATTTTTGTACTTTTTTTTTTTTTTTTTTAATGTGTTTTTTCTTCATTTACTTCACAGCACATACCATCTCTAACCAGCCTACGCGCCCATAACTTTTTTATATTTTACTCACATTCAGTTAAACTACAGCAGTCATAAGTATATCACAACAAATATTATACAACAAAAGTCTACAAAAAATGTGTCTGGATATGAACAGTTATTACAATGCACGTACAATGTACCATATGATATTGGTTGATACCATTTTTATAATTGGCGTGTTTGCAGTGTGTTTCTATTTCTATGTAAGCGTGATTATAATTTCAAGAAAATAACCGAAATTATCCAAAAATTATATTTTCTACTCTTACTAATCTGTTTTTAAAAACGATATATGCGTGAGTGTTTGTTGTACTTAGTGTCGAATTATTAAATTTTGTATACATAAGTAATTTCACTAAAATGTCGCATGGCCAACCTAAGCGTATTAAAATAATTGTAATTTTACATTTATTGATTATTTGCTTCATTGGTAAGGTAAGCCAGATTCTTATTCTTATTCTATTCTATTAAAAAACAATGAATATGACTAGAAATATAAAAGATCTATACATTCTTCCATGCAGCAACAATTCGTCGATGCGGCTGGCCTGAATTCGGCGCTGTCCGAAGCGAAGCTAAAGGAGATCGCGAAAATACGCAGCGATCTCAATGAGGCGCTGGAAAACGAGCATGCGAATACGCCGGCAAAGGCAAGTATCGGGAAATTTTGACTGTACATTTTGTTTTTAAAAATACCTGAATTTTTTTTTAAAAATTTTTTTTTATACAATTAAGTAAACAAAATACCGCTAACCTAACGTTGTTAAACAATTTCATTTTTTACATATACCGTTATACGCTAAATATATACTTTCTTACACTTGCTACTAGGGTGTAATTGTGCAACCCATCTGGCTAGCGGAGCAAGGTACAAAAACAAATACCCCAACCAAATTCAAAGTGGAGGTTACCCAGCAGCGGATCGACGAAGTCAAGGCACTACGTGAAGAGATCAGCAAGAGCAAAGCGCAACAAACGGAAAATGATCGGCAAGTCCAAGAACTCATCAAGGAATTCAATACACAAGGGGCTGGACGCACGGCACTTGGTAAAGTCGTGGGTAACGCGCAGGACAAACCCAGTGATGAATTAGTAGGCGTTTCCGAGTCCAACGATGCTGCGGATTTACCGAACGTGGTGGAGGCCAGCACGCATGAGGAACAAGATTTCGATATGCGTAAGCTGCAACGGCTGGAGATTTCCAAGCGACGCGAGCGTGAAACTTTAATACTTAAGACTATCGAAGAGGATTTTAGCTTCGATCTCGGCGATGATGTGCAGCAGTGGGCGCATATACTGCACGATGGCAATGAATATTTCATCGGACGTCGTGTGAACAATTTATTAGTTGTGCATAAGGAGAATGCGGCATATCAGGCGGGTAGTGTATTAGAAGTGGGTCAGCCGATAACTTATTTGCTCACCTATTCTTTTTGGAATGATGCGCAAGGACAAACGGAGGGCGTAATGCTGGTAGCGGCGCAAGATCGTGTACTGTGGTATCGTGTTAGTAATGCTACGCGTAATATTGATTTGTACTGGCAGTGGGTGGTGGGCAATACCATTACTGGACTCACCTACTTTACGGTCGAAAGCAAAGACTATTTGATTGTCTCTACAAATCAGTCTTCACACACCGGCTTTTATACGCTGAACATCTACCAGTTTGAGCTCAGTTCGCGTGAGTTTTGGATTGCGCAACGTATGCAGTTGGAATTTCCGTGCGCCGAATCTACATTGCTCGATACGGGACGTGATCTAATACTGGCCGTGCCACAGAACAACACAGCCGCCATATACACCTTCAATCCGCGTGCCGACAACAACGATTACCTACGCTTCACACTCAAACAGCAAATCACATCCGAAGAGGTGGAGTCTGTGGCCGGTTTTCGCATGGGTGGACGTAGTTATATAGCTGTTGGTGGCCAGCAGCCGCAGATCTTACTCTACCAGCAAGGCGAACTTGTGCCCAAAACAATATTGTCGCATAATTTCGGTGTTGTGGAATTGTTCTTTCCCGTGCCGGTGCGCACGTACCGCGACGATCTCATACTGCTCGTACAACATCGTGTGGATTTCAGCACGCATAGCCTTACCGTGCTGGAGACACTCATTTGGAACGGTGATGCATTTACGATTAGCATACCGGTACCATGTAAGTTGGGCGCACATACAATTTACGGTGCCAGTTGCATGTTGGACGTACAACGCGACGCAGGGCTCAGAGGTGCCGCATACTTTCGACGGGGCGCTGAAGTGTCGTTAATAGTGCCGCGTAACAATGCCGAATCGGGTCTATTTCGTTTGCATACAGAGCTGTTGGCGAAAAATTCTGAGTATTTAGACTTGCAGGATATCTACGCTTTCTTAAAGGATTGGGTGCAGGAACAAGATGATCTAATTGCGCAAGCGCAAGCTTTCCTGCAAACAACAGAGAATGGCGTTGCACAGTCGCAGCCAGATCTCTCTGAACTAGAGGAGCTACAAACACCCGAATTCAGCTTAGACGCCGGTGAAGTTGGCGAAATCTATGTAAATGATTACCGTTGGACGGATGAGGATACACAAATTGATCTAGATCTGGTGATAACAGCCATAGAGCAATTGGAGGTGGAGATAAATACTGGTCGTCACAGACGTAATGCGTTAACGGATTCGCTGAGCTTTCCGCAGCTAGAATTCGATAGTCTGGAAGTCGATGAGCTCTTTGTAGAGCAACATAACGGTGCTAACTTCTATGTAAAAGATGGTGTGCTGGAATTCGAAGGTATATTGAATGTGCATGACTTGAAAGTTCTGCAAAGTGTAAATGCGACCGAGCCACGTGCAGCTTTCGAAGATGATATTGAGGACGAAGATGAGGATGATGGATTTACTGCCAGAGAAAACGATAGTTTCATCTTGGATGGCGATATAGAGTTCGAGTCAATCAATGGGATGCCATGGCGGGATATAAAAGAAAATATAGTATTTATAAAAGAACCGTTTGAATTGACGCAGCTAGAAGTGGATGGGGTGAGTTTGAAATGTATATTTATAAAATGAAAAGAATTAGAACTCTTGATTAGCACATTTGTTTGTTTTAATATATTCGCTCTTTTAAGTTTATTAAGATCGGCTATAAATGCTAGAGATCATCTATTCCTTTAGAAATTAGTATCTAATCTAATCTATAAGAAAAACTAATTTTTATTTAATTTTTCACGCTTTCGAATTTAGGAAGTAATACTAGAAGACAAAGTTTCTCTCAGTACACTGAACTCGTTGAGATTTCCGGATGATTTTCTTTGGTCCAACGGTCCCACCGTTAGCGTTGTGCGAGCAGAGAAAACATTCACAAGCACCCTCAGCACAAATGCTATGGACGTGGAGGGCTTACTAAATGGTTTGGATGCTTTCGATGCCATTACATTACAGGGTGAGCAAACATGGCGTGGCTTACCAACTTTTACAGAGCTCAAAGTTACTGAGCTGTTTCAGGTAAGTTAGCCATATGCTATATTTTAGTGCTAATAACTCTTACTATTTTACAAAGCTCAATGGCACTACGCGTGGAAGAGATATTGACAAAATACCGCATAATCCCACGCTAAAGGATGTCAAACATGTGGAAGCCATCTGCAGTTTCAGGGAACTGCACGTGCTTGGTACGCTCATACTGCAAGACAATTACGACGGTCAACCCTTAGCGCCACTGCTGCGTGATATCGTGCAACGACCAGCTGATCCAGCGACCATTATCAGTGTTAGCGCTAAAAAGCGCTTTACCGAGATACATATGCCCATAGACTTTGAAGTTTTAGATGGGAAAGTAAACAATATACCGTTATCGGAATTTATACCGGCGCATACGAAACAAGATTTGTTTATACACAATTTGCATGCTTACGTCTATTTCTCAAACCTTACGCTCAGCGGTCGCTACGATGGTGTAGACATTGCTGAGCTTACACAAAACGCGCTCAAGATCGACGAGCCGCAAACGTCTTTACAGACCAATTTGACATTTGAAAATACGCTGCAAGCGGATACTGTGGAGGTCGTAAGCAGTTTGAATGGGCTGCCTATCGCTGAGAGCTACCAAACTATATTTGAAGATATGCATATACCCGTAGCGCACTTTGAGCAACTAAATGTTAGGGTGGCTGAAATAGAAGGCAATATAAATGGTGGCAGCAACGTGATGTTGGATGCCGATCAATTCTCATCTAGTCAAACTTTTGAGGAGCCACAAATCGGTGACATTTTTGTAGACGAGCTCAAGCTCGCACACGGACTGGAGACGGATGAGATACAGGGCATTAACTCGTCTTTAATATGGAGCTTTCTGGATGATATCGACGAGCTGCCGGATATGGTGTTAGACGGCAAGGTTCTGGTGGATCATGTTATCGTCACAGGTGATGTACACGTGCATAAATTGAATCAGCAACGCTTTGATGAGGATCTGCAATTGACTATCATTTGGTTGAATCGACCCAACTATCTCAGCAATAGTCTAACATTTGGTGCACCGCTGACAGTGCACGGTAACCTGCAAGTTGAAGGTATTTACAATGGCATTGACTTACCCGACTTCATCGCAGATATGGTAATACGCGCACCCGCAAACGGAACAACACAAATTCTGGCGCCGAAAAGTTTTACACAAAGCGTATACGTCCAAGGTGACACTTATTTGGATGCTCTGAATGGCATACAGTTCACTGATATTGCGACGAAGAAGACTATTTGCAACTTCCGCGGCTCCGTACGTCTGTTGGGTAATCTCTACGTAAACGATTTGGAAATCACGGGCGCTTTGAATGCTCAACCGATGTCGGTGTTTAGCAGCGCGCTACGTTTTGATCCCGCAGCGCAAGCGTTTATCGTGCAGGGTGTCGTAAATTTCAATACACCAGAAGTGCAACTACAAGATCTAACGGTACTTGGCGCGCTCAATAATATGCCAGATTTGGCGCATTTCTTCGACGAATTGATGTACAAGGATAAAGCTTGTATCCTAAAAGGTCACAACACTTTCAGCGGACGTGTTTGCATAGATAAGGGCGCGTACATACGCAACTTGAATGGTTACAATTTGCTGGCGCTTTTCGCCAATATCGTCTATGTGAATGAGCCGCAACCGGTGTTGATCAGGGCGCCGCTCACTTTCAAAGGGCCGGTACGTGCACATACTTTGCTGGTACGCGAGGAGTTCGTGGCCTCTACTTTGAATGGTCATGCATTGCAAGAGTGGTTCACAGACACTTTGCGGCTCGATCGTCCGCAGGAGATAACGAGTGAGTATGCGTTTGAAGAATCGTTTTTTATACTCTCGCAACCTGTTGCTACAGAGATTAATAGTTTTGTTCACCTAACGGTTGTTTGTATCACCTAAAACTAATCGAGTTATATATAGAGTTATGTATATATAAATGATCAGGATGAAGAGACGAGTTGAAATCCGGGTGACTGTCTCTCCGTCCGTCCGTCTGTTCGTGCAAACTGTAATTTGAGTAAAATTTGAGATATCTTTATGAAACTTGGTACACATTTATCATGGTACCATAAGACGGTTGGCATTGCAGATGGACGTAATCGGACCACTGCCACACCCACAAAACGCCATTAATCAAAAACAAATAAATTGCCATAACTAAGCTCCACAATAAGCTACAAGACTGTTATTTGGTACACAGGATCATATTAGGGAAGGGCATTTGCAGTTTAAATATTTTTAACAAGTGGGCGTGGCCCCGCCCCCTAATTGGTTTAATGTGCATATCTCCTAAAGCTATGATAACAAAATTCACTGAGAACAAATTATTTTAGCACTTTTAGTGTGAAAATGGGTTAAATCGGGTGGCAACTCCGCCCACTCACCATATAACGGTACTGTTAAAAACTACTAAAAGCACGATAAATCAAGCACTAAACACGCCAGAGACATTAAATTTTATCTCTGGGATGGAATGAGATGGTTTTGTAGGAACCGCGTTCAAATCAACCAAATTCGGTCCATAACATTATTCTCATATTTCTATGTTATTGCGCGAAAATGGGCGGAATCGGATTACAACCACGCCTATTTCCCATATAACACCATTTGAAATTCCATCTGTTTCTTTCACTTTCCTCTATGCAAATCAAGCAAAATATATGAAGAAATCTCAAACGTGTATACCGTTTGACTTTGTGAAAGTATAAATGTGCGGTTACATCCGAACTTAGACATTCCTTACTTGTTTTTTATAAAAGAACTACTTAACATACTTCCTGAAGTTGAATTATAGTAAAAACGTTCGATTGCAACGAAATTATGTAACGCAACGAAATACTGTCATACTCGTAGATATTATAATCCCAAAATGATACGATATAAATGATTCGTTGCATTACTTGAAGTTTTGAAATAAAAAAGGTTACCAGCTGTTTTAAAAACTAAATAAACACATAGAAAATATAGTAAAATACAGTAACTATAACAAACTAACGAAGTTTAGTGAAGCTAACAGTTGTAAATATTTATCGATTAGGTTTGCAACCTTTTTACATAGTTTAATTAACTAAACTGTATTAAACTACTTATATGGACAACCAACTGTGGACGTTTAAGAGAGCTTACGGTTGCAAATATTCCTTTATGAGCTGCCACCTATTGTTTCAATAAATAATAATAAAATTAAAGAAATTTGGCAAAACGGGTATAAAACTGAATATGTTTTCTTTCAGATATTGTGAACATATTTTTTTAACTAAGACCCAATTGTTCACGGAATTCTAAAATTTAGCTGTTATCTTTTTAGATATCGAGTTATATCTTTCCTAGAATTACTAAAATGATAATTTACCACACTTCTAAAGCCAAAAACGGATTAAAAACTCCTCTATGCTTAGTCATCGCCAGCGAGTTCTCTACTAGTAATTCAAATAAAATCAATTTCATTAGAGATGTTTCCGTTTGACGTATTCATATATCATATATCAGTTACTTGAGATGCCAAACCTGTGGCCCATTCAAACGCTTTCCGTATGCATGACTCTCTACCGGATAGAAAGGAGCCGCCTTCAGAAACTTTTCAACCAAACTTATGTGTTGAAGATATACTTACATATATCACTAACAAGGACTGGTATTGGAGTTAAGTGGTACCGTGGGTAGGAAATCGATTACAGATCGATTACATTGAACTGCAATAAATTAAGATATTTCATAAACTATATATGTACAAAGTCCACAACTAAGCTGTTTAACTTAAAAGAATGTATTTTGAGTTGATCTTAAATTAACAATCATAAAATTATGAGCTTCTTAAGAGAACATCAGAATAAGAAAATGTATCACGGGACTGAGAACCTGATCACACTTCGTAGGTGAAAAAAGAAGGAAATATTTTTGAAGTTTTGATCAAAAGTTTTGACAAAAATTTCAGCAAAGCTACACGAAAACTTTAAGTCCATTAGATACCATACTTTAGGACTCCATACAAAAAAAAATAAAAATTTAGAAAGTTTTGACTTAGTAAAAGCTCGAACTTACAGAATACCTCACATTTGCACCGGGCAGCTTGAATGGCAATAGCTTCTACGCCAGTTATTTGAATGACATTGATCTGTCACAAGTCGTCACGCTTCATACAGCTCAGAATCTAACAGGAAACATTACATTCTCGGAACTCAACTTAAATGGACAGATTCATGTAAAAGGCACGATTAACGGCGTGGACTTACAGAAGGAATACGAAAATACATTGATGGTGAGTAATTTGTGGTTTTAGGCATAAATTTATATATAAGAAATTACACGAAACCGCAATTTATAATGCATGAGATAAGGCTTGGTCTGAAACATAGTAATGATTGCTTTATGAAGAGCAATAAGTTATTTTAATTAGAAGTATTGAAACCATGCAGAAATTTATTAATCAATGTCACTTCCCAGTATTGACTTTATAGAGAAAAGTAAATGGTCCTTGGTAAGAAGTAATTCTACTAGCTTTTGCTTGATTTCTTAGTAAATCCCACATATCTGTAACATAGGATATGAGTAATAACCATAAACCCGATGCAGAGATAGCTAGACTCCGACTTCGACTTCTATTCTGCAGTTTTTCTTATATCCATTATTGAGTGCAGCTTTATGCGGCCTTTGCTTCATAATACTACTTGGGGTATGAATCTAAAGTATATCCACTGCAGAAATCTGTAAAATTGTTTACAAAACAGTGTATATAGAATTTTTATAGAACACTCCCAAATGCGTTTTGGCATACTTGAAGATATCTGAAAAATTAGTCAAATATTTTTAGACTTGCTTTGAAATTATTTACGGGGGAGTTCGTTAAATCCAGTTAAACTACTCGAAATACTAGTATAGAGTTGTCACGATTACGTCTCAGATATAGAAGTTGAAACTTTTTCTTATTCAGATCTGACCCAAAAAATCTCACTTTTGCTTGCTTGAACCTTACTCGACAACAAAAAAAAAGTAATTTGGGTCTTTTCTACATTAGTTGTAACTGGAAGTTGAGTTTCGTACCAAACTGCTCAAGCAGGATATTAAAATTCTCATAGCAGAAGAATAAAGTCGGCAAGTCACTTTAGGATGACCAAGGATAAAGAAATTGACCGACCAATCTAATATACTATAAAGTTTATTATGCGGTCTAAGGGAACTGTGACACAAACCCTTCAAATTTGCTAAAAATCAACATACACCATGATTTAAAAATACCTACTATTAGGACCTTAATTTCCTCTTGTCCAAGCAATGCATAAGCAGGTACCAAACTTTTTCTTCAAATATCTGCCTAACAAAAAGATACCGCTCGTCGTCAGCCAGATTAATCGTTGAATATTATCCTAGATCAGCGCGAGGTGATGATTATATTCGTGTCTCTCCCGGATTAATCAACCTGAGAGAACACAACGAAAAAAAATGTTCCCAGATTTTCTGAAACCAAACTCGTATTCAATAATTCTCGATACCGTAGAATCTACATAGCCGGAACAAATTGAATGCGATTAAATGCTCATGTTTGAGTAAATATATAAAACCTACCTAGACCTAAAAATATTCGAAGAATAATAAGTACTGCTATAACAAACATCATACTAATATATAAAGATAAACCTTAAAGTCTAATTTCACTTCTAAAATTAGAAAGAAATGGATAGATGCTAAGATTGGTTATAGGAACTTAGATGACAAATGGATCCGATCATATGTCAGTGTCATGCCAACGAGTTTGGTTGAAAGAATAGATTTCTTTATACGTTCTATATTACACCGAAAAGGACTTCGAGAAAACCTTGCTAAGATATCGGCGTGGAAATTTTTTTATAAATAATAACAACGTTTTCTTATATTTTTCTTTGTATTTATATTTATTTTCAGAAACATGGCAACCAAGTAGTTCACACACCGCTTACACTCCAATCCGCTTTGGTACGAAAAGCTCTCAAGACAAATGCGCCAATAAATAATGACAAGGACCTACAACAGGTGGCAACTCTTTATGGTGATCAACACTTTGAATCACCACTGTACTTTGAAAATGTAACGGCGCAGGAATTGAAAACGAAACATCCTATCTCTGGTATAAATATGGATAAATGGTATCAGAGTGTGCTACGTGTGAGTAACAAGCCACAACAATTGATTACCGGCAATTGGAGCGCACGCATCTTGACTGTGAACTCGGGACCCACACTACCTAGCTACATTACTACTGGACGCCACAGGCCAAATAACTTCGGCGCGCTACTACGCAATGCGCGTGAAAACGTGGATTATGTAGATTTTTGTGAGAAGTTTAGAATTTTGTTGAAGGGTCAGCTGAAACGCGGTTACCACTTGAAATACTTGCAGCGAGGGTTTGAATTAGACATGCACGCAATTAGTAAAGAACAGATTTCAGAAAACCGAACTATAAGAGCAGCATTTGCGCTGGATAAAGCTAGCGATAACTATCTGCTCATAAATACAGGTGAGCGCACGCATATAATGAAGTGGCAGGCGCACACTTCAAAGTATGAGAGTGTAGTCGACGTTGTGACGGGGCAGTTCGATCAGGCTGTAGCGGTTGACGATACCACAACAATAACAAACACCTTTGACTTTGTAACTAATAATGCAGGCGTCGAGGGCACGCTCAATTACTGGCGTCTTACGGGTACTCAGCTAACTTTGTTGAAGACTTTCGAAAAACCCGCGATGGATTTGTGGCTTTCGGCGCATACGCCACCAAAAATGTATGCCGTATATGCTGACATAGTACATGGTTATGACTTAGGGGAGGCGCATACCAGCAGCTGGCTGCTGCCCAATTGGATGGGCAATGACAGCTTCCGCTTTGTGCCGCATCACTCGCAGGCGCTCATGCTTGGCAATGGCGAGGTAGTATTGCTCTACAATGATGACACTGGTGATGATGGTGTTGATACTGATGATGAAGATATGTTGAGTGCGCGCGGCAAGCGCACCACTTTGCCGCGTTACAGCCTGCCGCTTTACTATCAGCGCGTACTCAGTCCGCAGGCTATCAAATGGAGCGAAACGGTGCTCAAGCCTAATGCATCTGAGCCGCACATTTACCACTTTGCCGACTTCCGCAATGTCATCTTACAAATACTAGATGATTTAGATTATCGCTTGCGGCTGGAGGTGAATATCACACAGCTCAGCATACCGGAGACGGATTTGCATGATGAACATTTAGTGCAGGATTTCATTGCCGTTATGCAAGCGTTACGTGAACAGCAAATCTATCCGAATGCAAGTTTTGAGCAACTCGAGTGGCATGTGCAAGAGTTGCCAGAGAATCCTGCACAAATTTTAGCCGCACGCACAGTGCAAATCTTATGGCCGAACATTGTGGATATGGCGGAAATACAAGGTTATCTCGCGACAAACGCCGACGAAGCGGATATTACGGTAGCGACGATAGTCGATAATTTGGGCACTACGGTACGCGATGTGCTCATATTAGCTAACAGTAAAGACCAAGTTGAAGAATTGATCGACGACGATGCAATGGCAGCGCATGCTTTGGAACTAAGTTTGGTTATTGAGCGTGTACGCGCGCTACAGCGCTATCTGAAAAATACCGCGCATACGCTTAGAACGCAGCTGTTGGAGGAGGCGGCGGTAGGTGCCACAACTATAGCGGCAAGCGATGACGAATTTGAAGTGTTTGCGAGCGCAACAAGCGCCACCTCCGAATTAGTACAACGCGCCATTGCAACGCCGCCCAATTTCAGTGAACTTCTCATCGCTAATGCTACTTGGTTGAAATTCCACAGTAAAAATTTACCAGCGCTTGGCAAGGGTGAAATTTTACCCATCACAGTGTTCACGCAACAAACGCCGTTGGAATTGCTCGCGGTTACTTTGTCAGCGCCGCAACTTGTGGGCGCTCATCAAGCGGAAATAGTTTTGTACTTGGACGTTCTGAGCGGCACCCGCTTTCAAACTTTAAACGCGCGTCAACCGCGCTCTCTCATTACAATCCAAATAGCTAGCGAAACTTTGTTGGCCTACGTAGAGGGCTGTTGCACAGTACGCGTATTGATCTACCGCGGCGTAGAGGGCTTTGTAGAGTTTACGCGCTTTAAAAGCGTTGAACGAGCATTGAAAATATTTCCAGTTATGCTGCAGGGCAGCGATATTTTGGTCACACAACCGCATTTAGCTGTTGCGCATGCCGATCGCGTTGTATTCTATCGCTTTGTAGGCGGAGGCGTGTCTTTGCGCTTACCTACAAACTTTGTTTGCTCCTAAAAAAATTTTGTAACTTTAATGTTTTTGTTTATTATGTAAATAAAGTATAAATTATAATTTTTTCTGTTAAAGTCGGCTATTTTATTCACTTATCGTTTACTTAAATATTAAGACTCATATTAAATTGACTCAGCTTACGTGCTAGAAACGCTTAAAGCTTTGTTAGCTTTATGCAGTATAAATCTAATGCCATACAGTTTTTATCTCGTTAGTTCTTTTTACCAAATTTATTAATAAATTATACAAATTGTGGTTGTCGTAGTGCGGACCAAAATTGAACGACTTGTTTTATAGGTTAGATGGAGGTTAGAGTTCTCCCTCACCTTATTAGTAACTAGTTTGAGGACAGCATAAGAAGATGAACATGAAAAATCATGTTATGCACAAGATACAGTTTTTATTGAAGACTGAGAACAAAACAGCTTAGAACTGAGAACTAAAGTCGAGTCGAAAAGGCTCAGAGACTCGCTGCAAATAAATAGAATTTTCACCACTTCACTTCTGATTTATCAAAACTTCTCAAAAAGCTCAATGAACTTTTCAGTTGTCTTCTTGGTTCTTTAAGATCCTTGCACATAAAAATTAAACTTTCTTTACTAGCGAGTCTCATTGCACTCGAACCCATCCAAATCAAGCTAACCTCTTGATAATATCTTACGCACATAATTATTTATAATAAATATTTACAAAAGTTATAATTTCTGCTTTTGCACTTAGTCTCTACAGCTCCAAGTAACGCAGCAATTATGGTATTTTAACTGGTATGAACAGGCGTGGATCGCCGATTTTCGGACTCAGACGCACAATCACCTGATCATCGCCATCACCCACTTCCAAAAAAGAATTCCAATCGGCTAGAAAATAGAAACCGTTCTTACGCTTCGGCGGCTTTGGTTCCTCCTTATTCGTATCCGTGCCACCGAACGATTCTTCCAGATCGGCGAGCGAACCGTTCCGCGACTCTTCCGTAGTCGTTGTGCTGCTACTATCACTAGACACCTTATCAACTGCCGCACTATCAGTATCCGCCGCTGCTGCAATGTCTACTGGGTCTGGTGCTATGTCTGCATCGTCATCGGATGCAGCTTGCTCTGAGCCGCTGCTTGTACTGGCTCTGGGTGTTGTGCTCGTGCCGGCAACATTCGTTGCCGCGCTTACTACTGGTGTCACGCTTTGACGTCTGTTCTTTGTGGTGTCATCGGTGGGTGTTTGCTGTTTCTTCAACGTTTCCAGATACTTCGCATCTGCTTTGCGTAGCAACTCGGATGAAACAGTGAGATTAAGGCGCTGTAGCTCCTGTAAATTGCCGATCAAGCGCTGCAGCTCATGTAAATCTTGTGTTATGTCAACTGCGTCAGCGGCTGTGGTAGTTTGCTCCATACCAACAGTTTCTTGTTTGCTTGCTATTGCGTCGCTGACTACGATATCCGGTGAAGCCAGCTGATAGTTCATCTCACTAAACTCACCCATTAAATCGTCCATACTACCCGGATCCATATCAGCATAAATATCCGTGTCGCTGCGTTTCTGGAAGCCGAGCGTTTGTTCGGTGGAGACGCCTATTTTATTAGCTGCGCGTTTAATAGCGGCCTCAATGATCTTGGTTGCACTAAAAACGGGCAGATCTAAAGTACTGGGGGTGGTGGATTTGGGTTCTTTCGGTGCAAGTGATTTCGGTGTGGTCAGCGAGAAAAAAGCTTCCTTTTCGCTGGACTCTTGTATGTCATTCTCAGCACTTGTCGATTCGGGAGTTACAATAGCGTAGCCAGTGCTTCTGTCCTTATGCGTCGAACTTGGAGCTGTGCTTACTTGGCTCTTCAAGTCGTGTAGTTCCGCGCTGGGTTTAGGACGTTCGGCTGTGACTATATGCACAGGTTGTGTTGTCACCGTCTCAAGTTGCTTCTCCGTTCTTTCAGTGGTGGCATGTTTAGTCAGTTTGGTCTCTATTTGATCTGACAACTCTGCCGGTAGTGTGACGCCTAACTTCTCAAGCTCCTGAGCATTACTTAACAGTTTCTGTAGCTCTTCCAAATCTGCTTTTTGTTGCACATTACCGTTTTTGGGCTTGTGCACCTCATGCGGCTTATGCGCGACAACGAAACGGGGTGGCTCCTTAGTCACGGTCTTGTAGATCATAGGTGGTTGCATATTCTTGTAAGAACTGCGTTCTTCATCCTCCAGCTGTTTGAAGAAATCTTGGTATTGTTCGAAATCTTTATCATAAGAGGAGCTTTTGGGGTTCGCTGGCGCTGACATAGCCAACTCACGCAATTCTTCGCTAGATGTCGGTTCCAACACAGCGCTCCCTTTCTTGCCCACATGAGCTTTCGTTTCAACCGGATCCCTATAGTCTGGCTTGAGTATGTCTTCGAATGGTTTGTACTCATGCGTTTTCTCGGGGTAAATGATTTGCGCGCCATTCGAGTTATGTACCGTTGGCGTGTGTACCGATGCGGACGTAACTAAATTTGTTAAATCAGTGAATTCACGCGTGTAGCTACCGACAGTCGGAGCGGGTGTGGCTGGTTGCACAATACCATGTACGCCGTGTATCTTAACGCGCTCCAACTCTTTGACTTTACTCAACAGCTTCTGCAATTGCACAAAATCATTGGGCTCGACCTCTTGCAGACTGCTACCCGAGCCAGTGTCATTTGTGATATCAATGATCTTCTGTGCAAACTTCTGCGTGCGCTTGGCAGACGGTTTAGCTGCAGTGGCAGCTGTAGAAATTTCAATGCGTCCAAATGCGTCTTGCTCTGCGCTTGCCACTTGCTGATAGAGCTCCTGCAAATGCGCGAAATCATTTAAAGGAGCGCGTTGCTCGTTGGACTTAGCGGAGCTTGGCGCATTAACTTTACGCGTGGTAAAGCCAATAAATGGTATTGGTGTATCTGTGGTTGTTGCACGTATGATCTTCTCGTTTTTGGCGTTCAAACGTTCAAGCTGCTGTACGCGATTTATGAGCTCCTGCAGCTGATCGTTGTCGGGCTCCGTTTTTTTGGTCTTCTGCGCACCTAGACTGTTGGTAATGCGCTGCGCTAAATCTAACGAACTAATAGCCGGTGCCGCGGTCGTAGTGATTGTGGCTGTAGTGGGCGGCAAAGTTGTCGTTGTCGTAGTTGTTGTTGACGGTGTTGTTGTCGTTGTAGGCGCAGGTGTTGTTGTGCTTGTTGTCGTCGTTGTAGTTGTGGTTGTGCTCGTGCGCGTTCTTTCCAACTCCGCAAAGTATTTCTGTAGTTGTTCAAACTCACGATAACTAGGCGCCGGTGTACGCGATGTGCTTGTAGTTGTCGTGGAGGTGGTAAGCGGTGCTGTAGTACTTGTACGTGCACGTGCTTGCTCAAATAGACGCTGCAGCTCCGAATCATCTAAATCACCTAAAATCAAAGCGCGCTGAGTAGTTGTAGTAGTTGGTTTCGCTGTTGTGGTCTTCGTCACCATTCGACCGGTTTGTCTGGCGCGCGCCTGCTCATATAAACGTTCTAGCTCTCGATCATCCGTTAGCAATTTCTGTAGATTGAAAACATCTGTTGGTGCCAAAGCTCCACCGAGACCACCCAGTCCGGCCAGTAAACCGCCCCCAGCACGAGCAGGCTGCGCTTTTGGTTTCTTTGTGGTGGTGCGCACGTTCTGTTGTTCAAATGCCTGCAATTGACGTAGTACATCCTGCAACTGTGCGGCATCTGCTTGCGCTGAACTGCGTGTGGCGGGTGTGGACTGTGGCGCGAGCTCATTAAAGCGGTTTAACAAATTTGCTGTGCGCGGCGTGGGCGTCGCGTATTGTAGCGGTCCTGTGCGTGCGGCATTAGCCGCTGGTGCGATTGTTTTTAACGCATTATCTGGTTTGATGCGTAACTTTTCCAGTTCCTGTAGATTTTCCAGCAACTTGCTGAGTTGATCTGTATTGGGCGCTTCTGTCTGATGGTTGCCCGTATTGCCAAAATTTATGTCGATATTTGGGTCAATGCGTCTACGCGGCTTCTTTGGTTCTATCAGCATGGGTGCGCCATTCGTTATTAAATTAGGTGTTGTGGGAGCCGGTGTTGTTGTTGTAGTTGTAGTGCTGCTGGTTGTTGGCCGGATAGTTGTGGTTGGACCTAGCACTTTGGGATTGACGTTTAAACGCTCCAGTTCTTGCAAGTTTTCTAAAAGTTTTTCGAGTTCACTGCTCGCCACGGCGGCTGTACCACGTCTTGGCACCTTAGCTGTGGATATTTCGCTTTCACCAGCGGTTAACTCAGCGTTATGAGATTTCAGATTATTTCCCTTCTTCAAGTCCTTCTTTTTACGACCACCAACAATACCGAAACGTGTAAGATAACCCTCGACTTCGGGTTTGACGCGTATTTCTTCACCAATATTTAGTGGTTTGAAGCTCGAATAAGCATCAGGTCTGATCTTCGGTGAGAGATTGTAGGCTTGCAATTCTTTGAGCTCTGTAAGACTTACGGTCTGCGGCACATATGTTGATATCACCGGTTGTGGCGCACTCTCCGCCGCATAGTAATCATCGATAGTGAAGCGGTTGCGTGATTGTGTCTGACCAACAATGCCCAAACTCTCCAAAACATCCGCGACTGGACGTACGGTGGACGTCTCGTGCTTTACAGGCTTGCGTTGTTTGAGAAACTCGGCAGTTTTTGCATTATAATGGCTGCTATAACGCTGCACCGGCCTTGGCGTGGAATTACGTTCCACATTCGTGTTATATTCGCCATCGTTTATGCTATTTGTAACTGGTTGAAAACCACTCGTTCCTTGCTGCACCGACGATGTCATCTTAAACATGACTGGCGCTGGTGGTGGTGGATGATATGTGGTCGGGCTGGGCGCAAACAATTTCTGTGTCTTCAAAGAATAGGCAGGCTTGTAGGTTGTAGCTGCGAAATCCCCGATTGGCGCAGTTTCTGTTTTCAGAGGGGCGCTGGGATCGGGTGTAAGAAATTTTATGGGTTGATGTGGCGTATAGGCGTCGATTACTTTCGTAACTGGTGGACGCGTATAAAGTTCCTAATGGGACAAAAAGATGTAAATAACAGTTCAAATCGATAATAGGGCAACAAAACTCACCTGTATATTTTCCTCGGTGTTATTGTCTGTATTATATGGCAATACCAGCATGAGCGCACGCATACTGTCCGCGCGTCCCATGTCCCCAGCTGCAACACTCTTCTGATACTCTTCACGCGTCACCTTTTCGTAAAGCTCCTCAATTTCACCTCTGTAAAAAAAATATAAATATAAGTGCGTTAAATGGAGTATTAATATTATCGCACATTTCATAAGTCTCAGCTTAATCAATAGCCTCCCGCTTTCTACTGTCTCCAATTAAGCTGACTGTGTCAGTTGAGATCTTGAAACCGGTTTCTACTAGCACCTACCGAAACTAATTTGCACCAGTGTTCATATTTAAATTTCTGAGTTCAGCTTGAGTTTTAAAATAAATCTAGCAACTAAACACATCGTAAGACCAAAACGCATGTTGTCGACTCTGAAGTTTATTTTGGAAGTACTTTCTTGCTACGTTCGTGTTTTTTTAGTGGATGCATCAATAGTTTATTTTTATAGTTCATTAGTTGAGCTGAGAATGCACTTCGACCTTTGTAGACCCATTTTACTTACCTCGTCAAACGTGGCAAAGATGGATCCTGCGCCAAAATTCTCTGCACCTCTTCAATGGTGTCCTCCAACTCGGGTGGTTTGAAAAGTGTTTGCTTTTCATTTGGACTCAAATAATTGCGGGAGTCTGGAAAAGGTTGATTGATGGTAGGTAAACTGCAGTAAAGCCGGATTTGTAGCAGAATCAGGCAGAGTAAAAATATTTTCGGTCGATGGTACATTATGGCTAGAAAGAAAAATAATGTTGGTATTTAAATTATGTTTTAAAACAGTTATTTTTTAAACAAACAAAATTGTTCTAAGATTAAAATATTAAGTTTGTGCTCACATGCTAAGCTTCACTGGATAATACACACTATCAATTTAGTGATACGCACCTATGGTACACAGGAAAAAAAAGACGTAAATAGGTGGAAGTAAATAATGGAGAGTATGCTGAAAGATAGAATGTAGGTTATTGCTTCAACTCGAATTCTATCAATAGAGTTGAGCTCGGTTTTGCGAAAAATACTCAGTGGCTGTTCAAAAGCTAAGCCGAAAGTACTTACTAGGTTGGGTTAAGTTTAAAGGCTGATCCTAAAAGGGATCTCACTTAGACAACTAATAACGCCGGTCTCCTATGGTACGTAGAACTACTAATATATGTGATCATATGGACCTTCATAAACCGACAAAGCGCTTGTCTATGGTTCGACGAAGGTATGACTGCTTTTTCGTGTTTGAACGATCGGAATAAAGTTCTGTGAAGGGTATTATATCTTTGGTGCAACCGAAGTTAAGGTTTTTTCTTGTTTTAAATTCTTTTACTATCACTTTTTTTATTTTTATTTAGTTCTTTTTACTATGTGACTATCTAGTTCTCAATTTGTTATTTTCTTTTATATATAATTTTAAATATTCTTTTTTTTTGCACCAAATAACTTCAAACAAGATTCTCTTGAGTGCAACTCATTGCTTGTTACACTCATTTAACAGTAACTCACTCACTGCTCTGCATTTTGGAGCATAAAAGTATACACACTCAATAAATGCCGGTGTTACGTAAGCGTTCAAATGGCGCTCGTAGTTTTTAATCGCGCCTAACAACATTTAATTGTACTTGGCAAATTATAGTTTTTGTTACGTACATACATTCACACACAAGCCTGAGGCAATTATGCTGTAGATCTATTCATTCATTGGACTTTAGACAGCACCATTTGGACTTGATGCGAACGTTTTTTGTGGCGCCTTAGCCGCAATCTCAATTGTTTTATGCGAGACTTCTTGCCAGCTATTAAGATTCTGTAAGCTTTGAAGTTATGTAATTGCTGAACCAATAATGTGGGTAATTTGTACATACATATAATGTCTGTGTATGTCTGTAATTGCACTTTGAATTGATGCTAATGCGTTTTCTGAGACAAATTCCACTAGTACTCGAACGCAAGAGGTTTATTGCACACCAGCAGCGGGTATCGATAAACGCTGCAGCTTTTAAACTATAGCTACATAGAGTCAATGATTTAGTCAAACCGATTATACCTTTTTTAGGCTTGTTAAACATTTTAGCAAGCTTCCTCAGGAAGGCAATAGCGATGTTTCCTTATTCTTTTTCGATATCACTCTCTGTCACCTCTTCTTAATTGACCGCATTCAGTACATACAAAACTGATGTTCGAAATAGCAAGAAACAATTAGGCTATATATTCCAATATAGCGATATATTTACTCTTCATCTCTCAACAACAACAAAAGTTCCATAGAAAACCGCTTAACCTGGTGCATTTTAAATCAATCTAATTTTACCGTAATAGTACTTGTAAGAGCACATTAATATAAGGTTGGAAGGTATCTCCCTTCCGCTTTTTTGCTCTTTATTCAATGCTTTATAAAAAGTGTTACAGTTATCGGATTTAGTTAAAATATGCGCCGTTTTGTTCGATGATCTGTTTCCATCTAGACGGCAACTTCATAATACCTTCCTCGTAGAAGCCCCCTCCTTATTTGCGAAGAATTCGGACAGCCACTTTTCACAAGCCTCTTTTGAGTTCAACTTCACACCACCAAGGGCATTCGCCATGGACAGGAACAGATGGTAATCACTTGGCGCTACGTCCGGGCTATATGGTGGATGCGATAAAACCTCCCATCCGAGCTCCCGTAGCTTCTGACGAGTCATCAACGAAGTGTGTGGTCTGGCGTTGTCCTGGTGGAACACTACACCCTTCCTGTTGGCCAATTCTGGACGCTTCTGGTCGATCGCCTGCTTCAAGCGGTCCAGTTGTTCGCAGTAGATGGTAGAATTAAGCGTCTGGCCATATGGGAGCAGCTCATAGTGGATGATTCCCTTCCAATCCCACCAAACACACAGCAAAACCTTCCTGGCCGTCAATCCCGGCTTGGCCACTGTTTGGGACGATTCACCGGCCTTCGACCACGACCGTTTTCACTTGATATTGTCGTATGTGATCCATTTTTCGTCGCCAGTCACCATCCGCTTCAAGAATGGGACGAGTTCGTTCCGTTTCAGCAGCATATCGCAGGCGTTGATTCGGTCCAGAAGGTTGTTTTGGGTCAAATTATATTTATATAAATGACCACTTACACCAGACACTAAATATATGGACACCAGAACCTATGACTACTTGTTTATTACCAAAAACAGTATTTTTTCATTTCACTTTTTAACCAACCAAAATTCCGAAGGAATCTCTTTCTAATAATAGTGTATCTTCTTGCCTTTGATTGTAAATAATGCATTCTATATTTCCTACATTTTATCAAAATATATACCAAAATCTAGTTTATTACTTAATCTTGAGAAAGTATAAAATATTCGTTTACACATGAATTAGCTCTTCCTTACTTGTTTGTATCTCTATTTTCTATAAACAATAACAAAAAAACTGCTGGTTCTTTCACAAAAATTTGGACAATAATTTTCCTGAGGCCGCCAACAAAATTAATTAAAACAAGTAAGGAAGGGCTAAGTTCGGATGTAACCGAACATTTTATACTCTCGCAAAGTCAAATGGTATACTCGTTTGAGATTTCTTTGTGGATTGACTGATATTTTCGGTAGAAGGTCAACTATAGGCACTGGGGTCCACATATTTAGTACTTAGGGGTTTGAACAGTTTTGGTTCGATTTAGACAATTTTT